AAAGGTGAACGCGGTGTGGTTTGTCACGAAGGAAAGTGTAGGAAGCTCCGCGTTCTTCACCTGCTGACCTTTAAACATTTCTTTCGAATTCAGAGTGCTTCCTCTGTAAATATTTTGCATGCTAAAATGAAAAAAACCCAACAACCAAAGAGCCAGCTTCCCTTTTTTCTCGCCGCTACGTACAAGCAGGCTGCAGTCTGAGGGCTGTGACTGGGAGATCTCGGCGGCTCTCCCAGGACCACCATCTGTTCAATGTGGCTTTCGCGGAGGAGGACCACGAGCTCTCTGCCACCTCCCTGTGCTCCTGGGGCACAGAGTCACCTGCTGGGACTCCTGTGAGTCGCCATGCAAGCAGGTTGGGGCAGAATTAAGATTTCTTCTCTCCTCCAGCCAGACTCCAGGCTGGGAGCTGGACCCGTGGGAGCTCCTGCTGGGTGCCTGGCCGGCTCGCTGCCGGACTAGCCCAGCACACCCACGGCAGAGGATAGTCCGATACCTCAGAGGCTGGTTAAACTGGCTGGGCGCCTCTGGTTTGGGCCATGTTGAACAGCCTGTGGGCCTGGGTAAGGAGGGCTCTGCTTGAAGTCCCTACCAGCCCTTAATGTTGCGCAGCACAGCTGGGTCTTGCTGTCTGCGGGCTCCCTGCTGCTCTCTTCTGGTGCTGTGTACGCAGGATGGCGTGCTTTCGAACATAAAGATACTCCACTTTTGACGTATAGCTTTAGCTAACATATTTTATGTTCACCTTAGCCATAGTCAAGACTGTTGTCCCCTTCAATGCCATCTTTACCGAGTTCTGCAGATACAGTTTGCATGGTGTGTTTGGTTAGTTTAAGGGGGTTTTTAAGATGCAAACTGGAGCAGAGAATTTCCGCTCCGTGGTTATCACAGCACTAAAATCCTTTAGGAAATGTTGCTATATTCTGTGCTGAACTTTTAATTCTTTTTTATGTGGTAGTCATATTCCCTGCTCGATTCGGCAGTGTTGTTCCTGCACCAGGATCTCCAGAGGTGTCAGGTGCAGTGATGGGTCTGCATAGAAAGCAGTCCTAGCAAAATGGGCAGCGTCCTCCTCACTGCGAGGAGGAGCTGAGCCTGCTGCAATGGCAGCTGGGGTTGAACTGAAGTCTTGAGCTACCTGCTGCCCTCTCAGGCTTTTGATAAACAAGTACTTCAGTCCCTCCTGGTAAGTAGGGTGGAGGGAACAGAAAACGGTAATAGACTTCAGCCACCAAAGCCTGCTTTGTCTTCCCATCAGCTAGCTCCCCAGCCCTCAGTTTCCCTCCTTCTTAATGCTGCGCCTAACCCATGCATGGGATGTCTTTTGACGCCCTCACTTGAAAATAAGTTTGTGAGGGAAAAGTATTAGTTTTTATTTTACTCATGGATACTTTTTGATCATATTATGGACAGTAAAATATCAGTTGGCCTTTTGTTAATCTACCAGAGAAGTCACTGCCTGAAGGGAGGAGAATGTAGGACATTTTGAGTCTGAATAGATGAGAAAGCTGCATTCGCCAGTACAGTTTGTTTCTGATCAGTCTCTCTAGTTGCAAAAGGCTGTAATTGTACAGTAATTCACTGCTACCTTATTTCTAAAATCCCTGCAGATGATTCCCACCAGACAGACTGCTTTGGTAAGCAGTTCATTTCAATACCTCACAAAAGCTACAGCAGAGAGCAGGGTGAGGACAAAATGAAGCAGAAGTGATTTACTGAGCAAGCAATGTCATCACTCTGCTGCACATCATGTATTTGCAAGATAGAAATTTGTTGGTTGATCTTACCTTTTAGAACAAACGAGATTAAGTGGCAGAGGCACAAAAAGCAGTCGTGGCTCTCTGGGTCTAAGGCCCATTTGCAGGCATGCATTACATCTTTTTCTGTCTCCGGTGGTGTGTGCGTGTTGGCAAGGTAGTGTTTTGGCATGCGGCACATCTCATAAACAGCTACCTGCTCATGGTGTCTATTTGGGTAATTGAATCAGTTACTTCCAGTTTGCCATCCTCCTTATTTATAAAGCCTTCCCTTGTGAATTATGCAAAAATGTAACTTGTTTTTTAGTAATAAAAAATTCAGATTAGTCTGACTCACACCATGTAGAGCAGTAGCTGGAGTCACTTCTTCTAGAGTCATGGAACTTTCACACCGTGCTGCAAAATTATAGAAAAGTAAGTATGTGAGTGTGAGAGAGTGTGTGTGCGCGTGGGTGGGTGTGTGTGTGCAGGCACTCCAAAGAGAGCTCTGCAGTAGTTGCTAAACAGAAAGACAGGAAGAATTCCATCGTTATAATCTCAAGGACAGCAAAGTGAAACTCTGTAATCCCCACAGAGCAAATACTCTTTGGCTCTGTTATCAGTCCAGATTAAGTCCCTGGGTGTCCATACTCAATCACTTTTACACTTAAGTCAACGTTTGGCTGTTGCTCGAACAAGCGCTCTTCTCTTCTGAGTTTGTGTTCATGGCACAGAATTCTCTTTGATTTTAAAACTTTAATAATAAATGATATTTTAGAAAAGCAATACAGCTTCTCCTCAAGGAAAGGCGTATTGCTTGCAGCTATTTGATTTCATAATTTAAATTTTCCTTTTTTTCCCCCATTTTAATGTCAGCACTGAGATATTTGCTAATGGGAGAACCAGCGTATCATTAGACATTCTGCCTGATCTTCCTCCACCCAGTTTTGCCACCACCCAAAATACAGGAGCAAGCAGCAGCCTGCCCTGGCTAGCTTGAGGAGTTCACTGCCTCGGAAGGTGATCAGATCACATCTCTGTCAGGATCTCCTGTCTTCTTGGGAATGAGAAATGCAACTCCTGGAAAAAAAAGGGCATGTGTTAAACGCCAGAGAGAAGACACGGAACGAGTTGCACCTCGTTTCAAAACTCCTCCTGCAGGTTTTGGCACTCTTTGCCAAGTTAAAAGGACCTATCCCCAAAAGACATGAGATAAGCTTGCTGAAAGAGCATTTCTGGGAGGGAACAATCCTACATGGAGAGGATGCACTATGGGCTGCGTAGATGCTGAGAATACTGCACTCTCTCTTCTGCATGCAGGGGTGGATGAGCTGAGAGGCTGCAGCAGCTCTTATCTAAGCCTGGGAATATGTGCATTGCTTTGGGCAGAGCTAATGAGAAACCCAGACTCAGCCAAACTCCTTCAGTACACCTGTACCACAGGAGGATGGTTTTTTATTCCCACATAGCACAAGAGGACTCCTCTGGCAGTAGAGCCCATGAGCAAATACCACCATACAAATAGCAGATAATAATAGTAGCTTCTTAAGTGCTCACCGCTGCCTGACTTTGCTGATGGCACAGTGAAACCTCAGGCATCAAAGTATAATGGTGGGGGAGCCAGAATGTAACACTTCTCCCTGGGTGTGACTTGGCTGTAGAGCCCCATCTGTGATGCCACTGACAGAGCCCGAAGAGCACCAGGCAGCGTGGTACTCGGCTCGGTTGTGGAGTGCATGCAGTGGACAGGGGAGAGCAAGGTGCATTGCTCCTTACCTGCAGGCAGGTTTGACTGGGTATATCAATGCTGCAGATTTGGAAATCTAAATACTTTGTGCAAAAAATACAAAAACTTAGGTCAACAGTTTCTATGAACTATCTAGTCTGACCAAGTGCCATAAGAACTGCCATAGACCTCAACTTTTGAGGCTGCCTTGATTATTTTAAAACACATTTTCTAAACAGTACTGACTTAACAAGCAAGGAGAAGTAACAGAGAATCTATAACTTCAGATGAACTCTTCCTTATTTCACACAGTTCACATAAATGGTAGCTTGCATTGCACACATGTGTCTACACATCAATTTTAGGTGGCTTGGTTTGGTTGCTGCCGTGCGATAGTCATGAAAGACACCAAGGCAGAGGAGGAACCAGAGGATTCATGAGTAGGACAAGGTCACAAAGAAGTTAGAGGGGAAATAAGATGGAGCTGGGTCCATCTCTCCTGAGCACAGGGACATACAACGTAGAGATAAAGTAAGATGTACTCAACCCCACGGGAGGTTGGGTCTTTCTTTGCTCCATTTCTCTGAAAGCTGCTTGTTTCACACAGTTTTCATCACAGCTTTTGAAGGGCCAACAAGCTACAACAGTAGACAATTGCCAAGCGTGTTCTTGCCGTAAAACAGTGAGGCAATTCCTTCTGCAGAGCTCCTCACTGCTGAGACAGAAGCCTTTGTTCCTTACATCAGCTGGATGTCTTTTGTTATCTGAACCTATCCCCTCTGTAATTGCGTTAATTAATACCATTGCAAATCTCTTGATGTTTCTCATATACGGAACACTGTTATCTTGCATCTCACTTTGAGGAGGTGAGGGTGAATCTGCTGTTTACGACTCGATTCAACTAGTCGATTCCTCTGTTAGCAATGACCTGTTAAGAGATGAAGTATGAAGTCAGCACGTGCACCAAAACACCAGCCCTGACTGAGACCCCCCCATCAAAATCTGTGTGCCCTACCTGGGTTTGTCCATGCTCAGAGCTCCTGCGGGTGTAACAAATAGGGAGAGACAAGAGAAAACTCTGAGGAAAACAGAAGAGGGAATTGGTCCTGATTATGTTGATGACAGCTCTTTATCAACTCATTTCTTGTAGTCTCCCAGCCGTCAGCATCAAAACTCTGCATGTTGTTTTCAGCTGAAGTAGATGTCTCCCACTGCTCCTGAAAACTGAAGGAACATTCCTGTAGTAATGAAATAAAAAACATTGACATTACCGTTCCAGACTTTCACCAGGGGATTCGGCTGCAGTCTAGTTTACAAATCTGAGTTCAGAATAACTTCCTAGAAGCCAGCAGAGTTGCTCCAACTTTAAGGCTGTCTGAAACTTACTATTTCAGCACATTTATGGCCGTTTTCTCATAATGATTTGAAGTGATGGCATGCAGATTTCAAGTGTCCACTCAACTTCCTTAATTTTCTCTTTTTGTTTTAAAGTATATTCGGTGCTGTTCGAACTGGTGCTTATATGCTGTACATTTTGATGACCAAAGGCCTGAAGCAGTCAGTGTGTGACCAGAGTTTTTACATTGGACCTGTCAGCAAATTCTGGGCATATGCATTTGTGCTAAGCAAAGCACCTGAACTAGGTGAGTATCCTCTCTCCCTTTCTCTCACTATGCATATTTAGCGCAGAAATGTCTGTGCAGGAAGCACAAGAAGGGTCTCAGTGCTGTCGAAATCTTGTTTTAGTCTTAGAAAAACTGAGTAAACAAAACCAACCCCAAACTCTGCATGTTTTAGACTCTAGAGATTAAGTCCAGCTTGGCTGAAGTTAGAGGAATGTGCAGTTGAATAAGACTATTCCCAGCCCAGGAATAAACTGCAGTGATTATACACAGCAGGGCAGTCAAGAAGTAAGAGCAATCTGGTCCATACCTCTTCCTTAGCTACTTGTAGATAGATACGAGTAGCGTAATCGGCAGTCATTCACCCCGTGGGTACAGAAGTGAAGGGTGGGCTACAGCAGCTGTGTCAGCAAGAAGCTTTGAGTCAGGTTCTGCCTTCATTCTGCAACATTTGTCCTTAAATACACATGGAGGCATACAGTTATGAACAATAAGGTGCTTCTTCCCTAAACATTGAAAGCTGTGGCTTTCTGCTTCCTCCAAATTGAAACCAATTTCCCATAATATCCCTAGCTATTCCGTCCTGATTCTTATAAACTCCTGTCTCTCCAGCAATTTTTTTGGTAAGGATACTTACAATATACATCCCAAAACCAACCCATCCCAACTTAATAGCCAGTCTGCATGGGTTCTCATCCCGTGGCTTATTAGTGTAAGAAGGGATTGCTTTAATGGGAAGGAGGAGGCAGCGATTTAGCAGCCCTCTAGCTTTCATTTTGGAGGATGCCCTTACTAAACCTCAAAGGCTGCAGCACTCACTGTGTTCAGGTGTACAGCAAAAAGAAGTCTTTACCTTTTAGCAGAGAATTTGATTCAGCAAATTACAGGACAGCACTTCATCAGCGTAAAAACTGGAAAGAGACAGACACCAGTTGCCTTGCTGTGTCAGAATCCCTTGGTTTCCTGCTGCTTAAATTACTGCAAAACCATGGAAATTTAGTTGTTAAAACTGGAAAACATCAGCTAGAACTGCACAGCAACAATAAATTGAACATATGATTACTTATTAAAATGTGAGTCAACATCTTGCAGCTAACGAAGTAAACAGGAGCATTATGGCTTATTACAAATCTTGTGCAGACAGTGCAGTTTTGGTTCCACCCATCATTAATATTCATGATTTGGATTTCCTGGGGTACATATACATAGAAATAAGTCCCCAGATTCAAATCTGGGGATTTTTGGAAACACTGTGTCTATAACAATAGAAAACAAGTAGCATACATATATACATATATCTAATGGAGATGCTCAGTGCAATCATGAGAAGCAGAAGGAAGAAAAAAGCAGGAAAGAGGAATAATAATACTTTTTGCAGAGTAGCTCAAAAGGCTCTACTGAGGTTAACTAGGTTCAGTTTGCAGGTCAGCATTTGAATCGGAGGACACTGTGCTGCTTCCCCTTCAGGTTTTCTGCTCTCTGTCGAGCTGCATTTCTCTTCTAGTCAAGTATGTAATGGACAATCTCACAGTCAGAGATGATACACCTACATCCACGTACCTCACCTCAGACTTTGACGGATTACGTTTGCAGCAAAAGGGTACCAAGTAAACCTATGGAGTTTTCAGACAGGGGTTATCCACACAGGAAAATGTACATACATTGGTTTCCAAAGATTGCATAGAGATTAGGAGCCAAGCTGGCTCTCAGATCAGACAGGCTCTCAGATCTAGAGCTGAGGTGGTTTTTCATGCTCCAAAATAGTGTATACTCCAGCAACAGCAAAGGGAAGAGAGCACTGCAGTAATTATGGAATTGTTCAATATGTTTCTCATTTCCTCCCCTCCTTTTTTTTTCCTTTTTTTCTTTTTTTTTCTTTTTTTTTCTTTTTTTTCTTTTTTTTTCTTTTTTTTTCTTTTTTTTCTTTTTTGCTTTGTTACAGGTGATACAATATTCATTATTCTTAGGAAACAGAAGCTCATCTTCTTACACTGGTACCATCACATTACTGTGTTACTTTATTCTTGGTATTCCTACAAGGACATGGTGGCTGGCGGTGGCTGGTTCATGACCATGAACTATGGAGTGCACGCCGTTATGTACTCTTACTATGCCTTGCGGGCTGCTGGCTTCAGAGTCTCACGCAAGTTTGCCATGTTCATCACCTTGTCGCAGATCACTCAGATGTTGATCGGTTGCGTGATCAATTACCTGGTCTTCTCCTGGATGCAGCATGGCCAGTGCCATTCCCACGTGCAGAACATCATCTGGTCCTCTCTCATGTACCTCAGCTACTTTGTGCTCTTCTGCCATTTTTTCTTTGAGGCCTATATCGGCAAAACCAGAAAAGAAAGGAAGGTTGACTAGTGGTAGAAACGAGACAGAAGCCATAGCTCAGGGTCATCAAGAAAAACAAAATCATAAGAAAAGAAAATGGCACAAGGAAACACATACATGTACGGTGCAGCTAAAACTTGGCAGCTTAGGGAAAGTTAGCTTGGTTTAACCCAGTAAGTTTATGATCCTATCATGGTGAGGACTCACTGAATTCTACTCTATCTCAAAGGACTGCTCATGAAAGACAACTTCCTTCTTGTACCTGTCTGCTCTAGAAAAGAAAGGAGAAAAGAAAGAAGAGAAAAAAGAAAAGAAAAAAGAAAAAAGAGAAGAAAAGAGAAGAAAAGGAAAGAGAACAGGAATAATGTTGAGGGGGAAAAAAGTATATTAAATAAGCAGTGTGTTTCCCCAGTGGAGGAAGAGACTTTTATTTTAAAAAAAAAGTTTCTAAATCCTTTATAATAATTTTTCAGTGTTAAACTTGAACAAAACAAAGCAGAAAGGTGACAAAAAAAATCTGTCTATGATAACAGTAAGATTGCAAAATTAAAATCTTTTCCATAGAAGGTTGATACCTCTAGCCAAAATGAAACCTAAAAGGGTGTTTCCTGCATGGAAGGTGGCTGAACTCCACACTGTGGTCATGAATGGAAAAGAGAAGAGATTGATTTCTCTGCTATGTACTCTGCTGGGGGAGCAGATCTGGGAGGCAGAGTCGCCTCCTTCAGAAGGCGGAAAGGAGCAGTACTTTTACAAGAGTTTAATGGGAAAAGATGCACTGTTGCAATACATATCTCAGAGTGTGCATATTCCAAGTGCATTTTTCAGTTAAAGGCAAGAAATTTCTGCAGCAGGATAAGTCATAGAGGGTTAAATCAATCAATATTTGCTAAATTACCAGGGGCTAATAGCAGAGGGATGTTCAGGAAGGAGAGGGAGACAACTCCCCTCACGTGATTTTTAGGAATTAGCCGTTAATCTCAATTTAACCACAGCGACACTGAATTAAATGGGGGAAATCGGAAGAAATCCTAGTTAGCGAGAAGAGAGTGATATATCTGCCCACTGTTTTCAGAACAGAGCCCTGTGGTACAATACAGATTCTGTATTTTTGTGGGCACAGGGATACCTGCCTGGGTGGGATAGGTGGCAGGACTGCGCGACATTGGGTAACACTGTGCTTCTGCATCTGCCTTCTGGGCAGTGCAAAGATGTTCAAAGTGCCCTCCTCTGGTCATGTGGAGATACTACTACAAGACATACTCGGAATAGGTTTTTCTTGAGATTTGTATAGAAAAAATTAGTCTAAACGGAGTAATTTTGCTGCAACAGCTTAACTCTAAAGTCCAGAGAGAATTATCCTTCATTAAATATATCTCTCTCTCTCTGCAGAATCTGTACTGTAACATCAGACTGCCCACTTAAGAAGATACTCTTTCTTCTCTGGTCAGCTGCAGATATAAGGAGAAGTGTATTTCACTCTGAACCTTAGAGAGTTAGTTGAGAACAGCCATATTCTTTCAAAGACAATAGATTGCATTATCTGTGATATTCCAGTCCTTACAAAGCCAAATAAAATGTGTAAAAGTTCCTAGTATTTCAAAGACGCAAGTATGTAAACTTGATGTTAAATGTGTTAATGTAGTATTCTAAATTGTATCAGTTAGGTAGTTTAACTAAACAATTAGAAGAACTAGATCAACAAAATAGGGACTGCTGTTCTGCATAGGATATACACACACCTATAACTACACCCATATACACATTCTGTGAATTGTCAACAAGAAAAAAAAGCCCAGTGGCAGAGAATCACATTTCCTGGCTAATGCAAAAGATTGTCATTATCTTTCTTGCTTTAATTTGAGATTGTACAGTACAAAAGGGTTTTTTTTAAATTATGATTTTTAGCTTTAATTGTGCTGTCATTCATGAAACAGAGCTGCTTTAGTATCCTGTTAAGAGATGACAAGGGCTTTCGGTGTCTCATTATATACAAAAGAAAAACAAATAAACTTACATTCCATGTTATGTGAATGGTCTTACAAATCAAAAAGCCTTTGCAGGGTAAAATCATAATTATAACAAGCAGAAAATGAGTTTACATTTGTGTTATTTAAGTTATTGATGTGCTGACGTTATTTTATGGTACACAACAAATAGCAAAATGTGATATGCAGTAATGAAGCTATGATATTCATTAATAGGACTATTGTATACGTGAAAATATTAGACAAAACCAATTAAATGTGTAAATTTTGTTATACAGCTTGGGAGTAGATAATTATAATGCTGAATAAGCCTTTTTCCTCATGCTTAATTTTGCCCTGGCTAAGAAGCAGGTTAAGAAGACCGGTTAAGAGTGGAAAAGGCAAAATTAAAGTCGACTGCAATTACGATGAGAAGCGTTGGTAGAAGCCCACCATTGTGCCATTTAGACCCTCAGTCCTGTGTGTCTTAGGTCTCTCAAATAAAGCAAGAGGGGGTGGAAGTGGTCCGGCATCTGGAGCTGAAGCTGGAGCAGAAATCTTGGACCCTGTGAAGTCAGTGGAGGCTTTGCTCTGATTTGAACAGAGCTGGTGTGTCCGACTGCCTTTTATTTGAGCAGAGGGGAAGGAACCACACACATCTCCTGCTAATTTGAGGCTTATGGCTAATGACTTAAAAGCCCATAAACTTTATCAATCAGAGGTGACACCACAGCAAGGCAAGGACTTGCAGCCTAAGTTTAACACAGACAGAAAAAACAGGGTGGGTTGCAAACAACCTACCGTGTTTCATACACTGTTTTCCTTAATTGCATAAAGAAAAAAACCACACCTGTGCATGCTGGATGGCGATGCTGGCAATGCCGACACTGACTTCAGCGGAGCAAGAATTTCACCCGCTCTTACCCCATCCTCCCAAAGCCCTGGCGGGTACCTCTGCACCGTGCCCAGCGCCCGCTCCCCGACGCGCCCACCACCCCACCAGCCGGGGCCGGGCAGGCGAGGGCCACCTTCCTTACTGCCTGGGAAGCAGCTCCAGTGCAGAAACTGCCCAAGCGACCTCCTCAAAACACAGTGCAGGTGTACCCCTGGCATGCGAGGGGTCTCGGCGCTGAATTCAGTGGGTGTCCTGGCGG